CTGTTCCATTTTCTTTTTAGTATTCAGTTTTGCTTTGCTCCTTGTTTTCGAGTGTTAGTGGTTTTACTTTTATTTTGCTGTGTTCTCTAGTTCATTCTTAGCTACTGTTTCAGTCTTGGTTCTGTTATGTTTTCTTTTAAATGTTTAGTTTTACTTGTCTCCTTGTTTTAGAGTCTTAGCGGTTTAATTATTATTTTGTTGTACTTTCTAGTTATTGTCAGTCCTCCAGGTTTTTTTTCATTTGTTGCCCTCTTCTCTTCTCATTTCTCCCTAGCTCCTGTTTTTGTTTCTGCTCTGTCCTCACCTGTTCCTAATCTTCTCATTAGCCCTCTCTTTGTCCCCCGTCTCCTTTAAAAGCGTTCTCTTTTCAGTTCCTCTTTGCTGGGTCCTCGCCTAACTCCGTCATACTTCCTCCTACTCGTCTCTCTGAGCCTCCCTCCTTGTGATTTTGCTTCCCCTGATGTCTCCATGGTTTTTTGGTACCTATACCTATACCTGATATTTTTTTTTATCTTTTTGACTTTGGTCTCCTGGTTTCATGTTTGTTTGGACTTTTGTTTTCTTTTTGATTTTTGGATTCTTGGTTTCCCGGTTTATTAGGACTTTGGTTTTCCTTTTGTTTGTTTTTTTGAATAACCTGCCTCTGTTTTCAATTTTTTTTTTAAATTCATCATTAAATCAACTAGAAATTCACCTCTGCCTTCTTGCCTCTGCTTTGTGTCAACTATCCATGAACAAATCCTGACAATATTCTACATTTTTAGTTCTTAAAACTGAGGAAAGCCATGTTTAATTTCCAATGCAATCCTTAATTATGCACAACTTTGTGGTTGTAAACAAAAATCAACTAAAATACATTGAAATCCGTGCTTGTGGCTTGAATAGAACACAGAGGACAACAACAAACTTTCAGGTGCATAAAAACTTTAGCAAGCCTATATGAAAGTGGCTGTTTTTCTATGCTGTCCAAGCCCTTAATGTTTCAGTTGTGTGGAAGTAGTCATCTTAGCCACAGGTTTAATATTTACCTCCACCAAGGAGGTTATGTTTTACGGCGAATTTGTGTGTTTGTCTGTGTACAGGAAAGTTTGAAAATTTATGAGGAGATTTTATTCAAAGTTTTACCGAAGGTGCACCTGAGTTCAAGGAACAATCCATTAAATTTTTGTGAACATTTACACTGTACATGAGAATCCAGCAGAGATGGCAAAAGTACTCACTTTCCGTACTTGAGTAAAAGTACAGATACTTGTGTTAAAAAATACTCTGGTAAAAGTGGAAGTACTGATTAAACTTCTTTACTCAAGTAAAAGTAACAAAGTACAGGCTTGTAAATTTACTTAAAGTGTAAAAGTAAAAGTAGAAACCACTTTTTTCATGTCGTTGCCTACATTTTAAATGGATGTCTGCCAATTGGACTAGATCTCCGTTGTGTTCATTTTCAATCATCTCGTCGTCCATGCTACTATGCTAACGCCACCGCCACCAAGCTGCAATGATTTGCCGCGAATGAATACCGCCGAATCTGTCGATTCATCTTGTAGTGGTGCGTCAAATGCAACGTAGATTCCCATCCAATTAGATTGAATTTGTATTGATGACGTGAAAAATAATAACGGTAACTTCATTGAAATGATTCAAAACTAAAGTAACGAGCCAATTTTTTTAAATGTAAGGAGTAGAAAGTACAGATATTTGTGTAAAAATGTAAGGAGTATGTAGCCCTCTTTTACTCACCAATTAACTGAGTGGGCTCTGGGTTCTATAAATCTTCTTTTCTTTAAATTTTATGTCTTTGATCTGTACACTATTCAGATTTTGTATTGCACACTTAATATTTAACTAAGAAATTGCAGACTGAATCATCACTGTACACAAAGTATAACGTGTTAACATTAACCGTCCATTTATTGAGAAGAATAAAAAAAAACACAAATAAGGAGGGATAAAATAATTACTTTTGAACCTTATTTTTTTTAAAAGAAAAACAAACACATACCCAAAAGTAAAACACCCACAATGGGATAATCCAAATTCACAGTTCAATATTTCTTGAAAAACAAAATTATAGACTAATTCTAAAGCCGGCAAACCCCAACTTAAACCTACGTTGCAGGCCTGTTCTGATGCTTGTGATGAGGGAAAAAAAAAGAATACCTGGTGGAAGGTGATGTAAAAATCCTACAGAAACGCTCTGCTCTGTTCAGTCCTGGTCTCCAGCGGGAAAGAAAAAAATACTGGCGCTCACAGTCACAGCTCCAACCACGTGCGTAATCCACAAACGTTCACAAACTTTGTCTCCAACGGTGCCAGAGGTCCTCTGAGCGCTTCCTGGTGGCTCAGAGTGCTATCTGGGTCCAAACTCTCTTGTCTGGTTGAGTACCGGTCCTTTGCAAGCTCCTATATCCAGCTGAATAAGCGAACGATGGGAGCCTATATCCCATTAGCGAGTTGCTAATGGTAAGCTAACGGCTAAAAACAGTCCCACAAGCTTCGAGTAGAAGCTCTGCTGTCTTCTACCGCGGACTTAACCAACTGTCACCTCTTGTGGGTTATCGTAGGGACAATCCACGGCGACAATAACCATCTACAACCATGAATAAGTGAACATCACCCTGGAGATGTGGACTTAAAGTCAGCCGAACCGGCGCTGATTTCTTTTTCCCTCCCCGCTCTCTCAACACCTGTGATACCTTCAAAAACCTTCCTCTCTGTAGGAAATTACACTTCTCACATGAAACCTTTCTAAAATGAAATAAAACCATGTAAACAGATATTTTAAACACATTGTAAATAAATTTACAAAATGAACATTTTAAATAACTCCAGAAAAATGTATTTAACCTTTTTTAAACTATTTATGTTAGGTGAACTCAGCTATTTATTAATATTAACTTAGACTTTTTTAAATGCATGGGTTAATTATACATCCGGGCTACACCCTCCCCCTTCTAAATGTCTGGTGCCCTCAACAGAGTACCCAAAAATCTTAACCCAGGAAGCAGAATAACCCTTCAGTACAAAATGCATATTAATTCTTGCCAATAGTTATCATCACCCCTCTATGAATTATCGTGATTGGCGAATCGCTTTCTTTTTTTTTCTTTTAGCTAAACATAAGTTAAACGTACAACCAGCTTAACAGTTCTCTTTGACTTCTGATCAAAAGTTTTAACCAATTGACTATGGGATGAATTTCCTTTTGGAACTTCTTGACTTTTTCTTTGATGCTTTGGCACTGTCTGAAGAGTTTAATGTAAGTTTGATGACCATGCCATGATGCATTATGGTGACTGGTTCACAAGATGGATAACCAGGTTTCTCATAGGTAAACCTCATAACTGGCTTTGGTTTTCTCAGGGATTTTCGGCCTGCAGAAGGCTTTTCAGTTTCTCCATTTGTGAAAGCTTCATCAAATTGTGCTCTGTTTACTCTAGATGAACTGGTTCCCTCTTCTGGATCTTGAAACCCCTCTTCCATAGATTCTGCATTTGTTTGTTGGACATCATAGTCTGATAGGGAAGATGAAAGGCTTTCCGGTGTTTCCTCATACTCTGTTTGAGTAAGGTGTTGATTTTCCTCTAGAGAAATGCCATCCTCCCCAGAGCCTTCACTCCCTTCGGAACTCTGACTCTCATATTTCTCCATGGGGGGATTCTTCATGTCTATTTGTCTCATTACTGCATCCGTATCAAAATGTGAATTAATGTGGACTGCTTCAAAGTCTGAGTCAGATGAATCCATGTCACTCTCTGCTAAGGAGCCAAACAGACTTTGTTTGCTGACATTTCTGAGTATGTTGATGTCTGGTCACAGGTCTCCGAGCAGGATTTCCTTCATCTGTGGGGATAGGCATCCTCACCAAGTACCCAATAGGCAACAGATGATCTCGATGGAGAATTTTCATCACACCTGTGCCATTCTCTGGTTTAACTTTGTAAACAGGCAGGTTAGGCAGCTTCTCCACCACAACATGCGGCATTGATTTCCAACAATCTTGGAGTTTATGTTTGCCTTTGAAACCCACATTTCTAATGAGGATTCTGTCTCCTTTCTCCAAAGGCAAATCTCTCACGCGTTGGTCATAGCGTGCTTTGTTTTTCAGATGATTATTTGTAGCAGCATCAGAAGCCAACTGGTAAGCACTTTGCAACTCTTTCCTCATCCTGGTAACATACTTTTGGTAGGAGGTTTCACTTTCACCATTAAGTGAGATTCCAAAACAGATATCTATGGGTAACCTGGCGTCCCTTCCAAACATGAGTTGATATGGTGAATATCCCGTGGAGTCATTTTTTGTGCAATTATATGCATGTACCAAATAGGGGATATGTTGGCTCCAACATTGCTTCCTTACAGTATCCAAGGTACCAAGCATTGATAAAAGTGTTCGGTTGAACCTTTCTGGTTGTGCATCCCCCTGCGGGTGGTAAGGAGAAGTTCTTGACTTTCTGACTCCTAGCATGGATAAGAGCTCTTTGATCAAATTGCTCTCAAAATCTCTGCCTTGGTCAGAGTGTATGCGTGCAGGCAGACCGTAATGCACAAAATACTTCTCCCACAACACCTTGGCCACTGTGACTGCCCTTTGATCTTTTGTAGTGAAGGCTTGTGCATAACGTGTGTAATGGTCTGTCACAACTAGCACATTAGCTACACCTTTAGAGTCTGGCTCTATCTGCAAAAAGTCAATACAGACTAAATCCATAGGGCCATTGCTTGTTATTTGGTTCAAAGGGGAGGCACGATGAGGGAGCGTCTTCCTGGCGATGCATCTACCACAGGTTTGAATGTACTGCTCAACCTCAGCTGCCATCCGTGGCCAATAGAATCTGTCTTTGACTAGTTCAACGGTGCGCTCTACTCCCATGTGACCACATTCATCATGTAGAGATCTCAAGACCATGGAATGATATCTTTCTGGTAATACAAGTTGTTTGATTTGTTTTCCACACATCTTTTCTTTTTTCCGGTAGAGTAATCCATTCTTTAACTCCAACTTGTGTCTTTCACGTAGAAGCAACACAGTTTCAGGTGAGTCATTTTTTGAGTGAGCTAGTTCTTCATTATTTTCCAGCGCTTTCTTTACTGGTCCGATTGTTGGGTCCATATCTTGTGACGCCTGGAGGTCTTGCAGACTCAGCTGCTCAATGGTGTTAAGGCTGAGGTTCACTGGGAACATGTAGGCTTCTGGTACAGCTGCAGCAGGAGCTCCCAGCTGATCTACCAACCTGTCAGGCACATCTACATTTTCAATCATGCAAGCTTGCTTGCAAAAAGCTTTGATGCCAGCAGATGGAATACTATTCCACTCTTTAATCTCCTCAGTTGTGTACTGTCGAGACAACACATCTGCATCAATGTTTTGCCTCCCAGGACGATACTGGATGGTGAAATCATAGGTGGAAAGGGCAGTGAGCCAACGATGTCCAACAGCACTGAGTTTAGCAGAGGTTAACACATAAGTCAATGGGTTGTTGTCGGTTCTGACAATGAATTTAGCTCCATACAAGTAATCATGGAACTTGTCTACAACAGCCCATTTCAATGCCAGAAATTCCAGTTGATGGACTGGATAATTGTGTTCTGAATCTTTAAGCTTGCGACTAGCAAAAGCTACTGGTCTTAACCCTTCAGGATACTCCTGGTTCAGGACAGCACCCAGTCCATTCATACTGGCGTCCACATGTAAGATGTATGTCTTTGTAGGGTCAGCAAATGCCAACACAGGGGCATTGATCAAAGAGTCGCGGATCCGCTCAAATGCCTCCTGGCAGGCTTGAGTCCAACGTTCTCCAAAAGGTTCTGATGGCTTGAAATAGACTTTACTTTGTCCAACACTCTTTCTGCACTTGGGATCTTGCCATGTGGGTGCATAACCCTTTGTTAGCTCAGAGAGGGGACGAACGATAGCAGAATAATTTGCAATAAATCGCCGATAATAACTGCAGAATTCGAGGAAAGACCTCAACGGCTTCAGGTGAGTGGGTTCTTTCCAGTCGTTTACCACCTCCACTTTGTCTGGATCAGTAGCTATTCCACTAGCAGAAACAATGTGTCCCACATACTTCACCTCAGGCTGACAGAATTGACATTTGTCAATAGAAACCTTCAAGCCAACCTCCTCCAGTCGATCCAATACTTTCAGTAGACGCTGTTCATGCTCTTCAAGCGTTTTCCCAAAAATGATTATGTCATCCAAGTACACAAGAGCTTCAAGAAGATGCATATCTCCAACAGCTTTCTCCATTAAGCGCTGAAATGTTGCGGGCGCTCCAGTTATTCCTTGTGGCATGCGTTCAAATTGATAAAACCCAAGGGGGCAAATGAATGCAGTTTTTTCTTTATCCTCAGGAGCCATCTCAATCTGATAGTAACCACTACGCAGATCTAGGACTGAGAACCACTTGCTGCCTGATAAAGAATCCAAGGCATCATCGATGCGGGGCATTGTGTATTGGTCGGGTATGGTGCGGTTATTGAGAGTTCTATAGTCAATGCAGATTCTTATGCTGCCATTCTTTTTTCTGACTACAACAATTGGAGAGGCATATGGGCTGCGCGACTCGGTAATAATGCCAGCAGCCAATAGTTGTTGGATATGCCGCCGCACATCATCAATGTCTGCAGGTGCTAGCCTCCTTGAACTTTCCCTGAAGGGTCTGGAATCATGCAGGCGAATGTGATGTTCAACACCCTTGGCACATCCAACATCCCACTCATGCAGTGAGAAAACCTTCTGCCTTTTAGCCAACTTCTGCTGAAACCGTCTCTTCCACTCTTCGGGGATGGGGGAGTTCCCGAAATTGAAAAGACTTGGATCTAAGTCTCCGGTTTTGGGGTCAGAAGGCTGGACGGGGGTAACCGTGTCCACAGCAAACATCTCCGCCACAACAGTCCCAACTGGGATGGAAGTTGTCCTTTTGGACTCATTTTGAATGAGCACAGTGCAACTTTTGTCTACGTCAGTATCTGGGAGCACACCAGGACGTACCAACAGACCTGCCGGGAGTAACGGGGCAGTGGGTGCCTCAATCAGTATTAGGTCTTTGCCTGGATCAATCTGTTTTTCTACTGTGCAGGTGGCATAGCATTTGGCACCTGGAGCGATAGAGAGTAGACCTGGCCCCTTCCACCTTATCTGTCCCAAGATTTCATTTTCTGCTGGTGGCTTCCATGCTTTGACCGGTGCATACACCGACTGGATTCTCAGGGAGTGAACAGTTTTTTCATCACCCTTTGTCTTCACCAGTTCCCATAGGCGACGGAACAGAGATGTGTTTGTTCCAACCAGTATGGGGGTTTGTTGTTGGTTTCTTGGCTCAGGACAAATTAAGGCGAGCACTTCTACCCTGCCTTTCACACCAGTGATCTCCTCTGAAAACTCCATCTCTACAACAACATAGCCTTTGTAAGGATACTCGGCATCTGAGAGACCCCAGAGTCCAAGGCCAGCAAGGGGTTTTATCGGGATACCAGAAAGATGTTGGTTATACCAGTTTTCAAATATAATAGTCACGTTGGACCCACTGTCTATTAGAGCTTCACAGACCACATCATTAACTTTGATGGTGTGAATAAATGATGGCCCTACAAGACCCTCAGGTAACTCTGTATTGTGTTCTGGGACTTCAACCTTGTTAATTCTAGCTACACACTGTTCCTCACCTGTGTTTTTTGGGTTGTCTTGGCTGGATGAAGGGGAAACTCGCACCAAGCGTATGAGCTTTCTGATGACTTTCTGAAGATCCTCAGGAGCAGTACATCTAGTAGCTATGTGGCCATTTTCGCCGCAGCGATAACAGAAGAACTCATTACTGTCTTTTGGAGAGGAGCCTCTGGAATGAGTGGGCTTGTGACCTGGAACTACTTTGCATCTATAAGGTTGCTGTGTGTGCTCTTTTGAGGGGTCTGTAGTATATTTTACAGCCATTGCACACATTTTGTTTTCTAAGGCTTTCACTTGCTTTCTTAGTGATTGCAGTTCACTCTTTGCCTCATGTTTTTGGTTTTGCTTCTCTTTAGGATCATTAATGGACTCCTCGGTGAGTGGCTGAGCTGTCTGCTCTAACTGTGCTCTCAACTCTTGGATCTGGGCTTGAAGTTCAATCCTGGAGGGTGAGGAGATTTCTTTCTCTTTTTCGGCTTGAATAGTGCGCACACGCTGAGGACGCAGATGTGACACGTGGCTTTGTCTGGCTGACTGGCGGTTTTCTTCTTCCATCACTTCTCTTAACAGGTTCAAAAATGTAGGAGGATTACTGCTCCTTTCCCTTATTTTCAACTGCAGCAACATGAGTTCAGAGGTGGACCCTCTAAGTAACTGCTCTAAACGAGCGCTGTTTGCAGCGCTGACAGATAAACCCCCTCCTTGGACTACTTTGACAAGAGATCTCTCTATTCTTCGTAGGAACTCAGACAAACGCTCATCAGGACGTTGGTGGAGGGCTCTAAAAGACAGATATTGTTCTTCTGGGGACTCAACCATACCAAAGATGCTCACTATAGCCTTTATGTACTCATGTGGGCTAGCATCTGGTTGAGTCAAACGCACAGCTTGAATAATTTCAAAAGCTGGTCCCTTGAGACTTTCTAGGATCCGGCGTCGTTTCTCTTTGTCCGAGCACTCTCCTTCCTCTACTAAGAGTGTTGCTTGCTCCAACCAATTGTCCAGTGATTCCTCTCCAGCGGGAGTGGGACTAATCCCTGAATATGTCCGCAGACGTCTGTATGGGTGGGTGTCAGGATGTTTGTTTGCTCTGCTCATAACATCACCGACGGCACGGATAATGTCTTCAGGATTGCTATTAACCTCTTTGGGGGGTGAATATAGACTCTGGATGTCCTCCAGGGTTCTCCCTTCACTTTGTAAAAAGGTGAGCAACTTATCTTCAAAGTTATCAGTCTGAGGCTCTGAGTACCAAACAGTTTTCCAACCACTTCCTTCATTTAAAGGCATTATCTCAGGTGGGATTTTAGATGGGTCGATCTCTTCACGACACTCACATAACACCATCAGAGATTTTTGTTGAGGGTGAAACATTTTTCCTCTAACAGTAACTTTTCCCAATGCCTTAATGGTCTCAGCTGTGCTTTCAATGTCTTCCTTTGAAGCGGCTTTAGGCACTCCATATAACAAAAGAGCATGCTTTAAGTCTACTGCTTCTCCTATGCACCAGTTAATTAGCTCACGTTGTGATGGATTACTTGTTTGGGCTGCCATCGAAAAAAGTTTACTTGACTTACTTTTAATCTGTACGTTACAAATAAGTAAAAAAATACTCTAGAGTTGTGGGGTCAAATTACTTTTTGGTTATCTTAGGTTAAATACATCCCAGCGGTGCCTCCATTTTATGTAGCCCTCTTTTACTCACCAATTAACTGAGTGGGCTCTGGGTTCTATAAATCTTCTTTTCTTTAAATTTTATGTCTTTGATCTGTACACTATTCAGATTTTGTATTGCACACTTAATATTTAACTAAGAAATTGCAGACTGAATCATCACTGTACACAAAGTATAACGTGTTAACATTAACCGTCCATTTATTGAGAAGAATAAAAAAAAACACAAATAAGGAGGGATAAAATAATTACTTTTGAACCTTATTTTTTTTAAAAGAAAAACAAACACATACCCAAAAGTAAAACACCCACAATGGGATAATCCAAATTCACAGTTCAATATTTCTTGAAAAACAAAATTATAGACTAATTCTAAAGCCGGCAAACCCCAACTTAAACCTACGTTGCAGGCCTGTTCTGATGCTTGTGATGAGGGAAAAAAAAAGAATACCTGGTGGAAGGTGATGTAAAAATCCTACAGAAACGCTCTGCTCTGTTCAGTCCTGGTCTCCAGCGGGAAAGAAAAAAATACTGGCGCTCACAGTCACAGCTCCAACCACGTGCGTAATCCACAAACGTTCACAAACTTTGTCTCCAACGGTGCCAGAGGTCCTCTGAGCGCTTCCTGGTGGCTCAGAGTGCTATCTGGGTCCAAACTCTCTTGTCTGGTTGAGTACCGGTCCTTTGCAAGCTCCTATATCCAGCTGAATAAGCGAACGATGGGAGCCTATATCCCATTAGCGAGTTGCTAATGGTAAGCTAACGGCTAAAAACAGTCCCACAAGCTTCGAGTAGAAGCTCTGCTGTCTTCTACCGCGGACTTAACCAACTGTCACCTCTTGTGGGTTATCGTAGGGACAATCCACGGCGACAATAACCATCTACAACCATGAATAAGTGAACATCACCCTGGAGATGTGGACTTAAAGTCAGCCGAACCGGCGCTGATTTCTTTTTCCCTCCCCGCTCTCTCAACACCTGTGATACCTTCAAAAACCTTCCTCTCTGTAGGAAATTACACTTCTCACATGAAACCTTTCTAAAATGAAATAAAACCATGTAAACAGATATTTTAAACACATTGTAAATAAATTTACAAAATGAACATTTTAAATAACTCCAGAAAAATGTATTTAACCTTTTTTAAACTATTTATGTTAGGTGAACTCAGCTATTTATTAATATTAACTTAGACTTTTTTAAATGCATGGGTTAATTATACATCCGGGCTACAAGTAGAAGTAAAAAGTCACCATAAAAATAAGTAGTAAAGTTTAAAGTAAAAATATCAGAAAAATCTACTTGAGTACAGTAACGAAGTATTTGTACTTCGTTACTTCCCATCTCTGGAATCCAGATGCAAGAATTTTTTAAAGAATTCTTTAACATTCATTTTCATAACAATTAGTTTTTCCCCTAAACCGGAGAGTGGCAGCAGTGACTGTTGACAGCTTCAGTATCGGACTCAAAAAAAGTCCAGAAGTATTATACTGAAGACAAATACAATGGACAGGTGAGCCATGCTTTACTCGATGTGTCGATCTGCTGAATAGAGAGGGTAAGAGGGCAACATTTGGTAATGATGAAGATCATTAATGAATTTTAGCTACAGTCACAATATGGAACAAAATTTTCTGCTTAGTGGAGGGCTGCCTCTCAGAGGCTTTTTCTTTTTGATTTAGGGTGGTGTGTTCACAAATACCTCCTAGCAAATTACAACTAATCATCCTCTATAGCTTCATAAGCTAAGCTAATCAAACTTGGCTTTGTCTACCAAATTCCACCAAATTTTTACTGCAACGCTGTCAGCCCCAGCAGATTGCATCCTGAGCAGAGTTTCAGATGTAAGACTGAAATATGACAGTACAGCTTTATAATGTATGTAATTTAATAATAAAAAAGAAATAGAAAATTACAGCTTTTTTGTTGTTGTCTTGATGCCATAAAGAGAGCCCAACAGATTTTGCTTTCACAAGTGGAGCCGTAAGGCTATCACCATAGTGTTCTGCTTGATTAATGCTTCTAAATATTTTTATTTTTATTCATACAGGGAGTATTAAAGATTTTATGGACCTGCAATGAAAGTAGAACAGGAAAGGAAAAACAGAAAAAAGAAGAAAAGATGAAAGAGGAGGTAAAAGGGAGATAACGAAATTATTCAGTCTGCTTCATCACCTGCACAGAGATATAAAAAGAACAGCATAACCAACGGATATAGTATAAGAGATACAATAAAGTAACACCTTGATACTATCGCTGAAGTATAAGTAGTATTTTTCAATCTGACATCTATACTGTGGTAGCTGAAGATAACAATATGGGCTTACTGTATGGAAGTGAATCTCTAAGTTCCTGGAACCAAGCACCTGTAGGTGTTTTGTGAGGGTGCACTTGTGCATGTACATTTTATCCAAAGGAAAAATGCTCAATAGTGGTTGTGAAGAGCCAAAGATGCTCCTCTGCAGAGCACCAGGGCGAGTGTCGGGGGACCCGAAGCCCCAGACGCCTAATGGGACCCCAAGAGCAAAGGCGCCCAGGAGGGGCCAAACCAGGAAATCCAACCCAGCACCAAGGGAGGAGAAGAGATGGCCCAGAGGAAAACCCCCATCCACCACAATGCCGTAGCCCCCAGGAGCTGTGGGGATGAGGCTGCGGGCTTCAGCAGTAGCCAGCAACCCTGAAGTGGATCCGGCCATGGGCCCTGGGGACCCGAGAAACCCAGGGGCACCCCATCCCCGGAGGGAACCCCAATGAATGTACTACATTAAATTACAGCTTTGTAATGTAATACAAAAGGGACCAAGAAAAAATACAAGAACAGAAAGTCCACAAATCAAAGGATCTGATCCATTTAAACCCAGTCTAAATGGTTTCTTCAAACATTTCTAAATCTTTAATTGACTGAGAAAAATTATGCATTTATTAGTGATCCTGCTTTAACACATATCAAGGTTGTGTAGGTTGTAGTTGCCCTGATCTGTTTAGCATCCTCAGCATCATTAAGTTCACAAAAGATGTCAACCTCTAACTTTGAAATCTTTTTGGTATACATATATACGGTATTTAGGATAGAGCAACAATTTGTACAGGCTAATTTAGTAAATCATAAGGAAAACACATAAATGCGCGTACAGAAAAAAAAAAAATCATGTTACCGTAAGTGTTCTAGCCTGACACTAACCTGATTAAAAGAGGTGAAATGTTAAAAGGGATGATTGCTTGATAAATAAAACAAATGTACAGAATAAAGCAGTTCAGGAGTATCCTGTGTTGACAGGTGGGTTAAATGCAGAGATTTTTTTAAGGGGGCAGCCTAGTGGTTAGGGCATAGAGCTTGGAATCCAGCGGTTCTGAGTTCGATCCCCCACTCCTACAGACTGCCACTCTGGCTCCCTGAGCAAGACCCTTTACCCCACACTGCTTCCCGGGCGCCACACAATGGCAGCTCACTGCTCCCCAAAGGGATGGGTTAAATGCAGAGAAGTAATTTCCCTCTGGAATTATTAGAGTATATAAAATAAAATAATAATAAGGAATAGGAGAACATTAAGTTGGTTGCAAGTTAGATATTGGATATTCAATCTCCTTAAAGTTAGTGGCAGCAATGCAACAATGTGCAGTGAATAAAAGTAAATAAGTAAATACAACAGTGACAACAAACACAACTATGTGATGAGCAATTGCAATCGATCAAAACCGACCAACAAGGTGCAAATGCACTAATAAAAAAAAACTTGCTGCACTTATGGTGCTAACACATACAACATATGCAAGGTAAAGTGATGCAAATAGCAAAAATTACTGCATGTACAGAAAAGCTGCTAGCTCCAAATAACACAAGCAGCAAAACAAATCAGAGGAAATACTAAATTTTCTTTCTACTCTCAGAATATCCTCTTGGCATCCCATTTACATTTTTACTAAGGATGTAATATATAGATGTTAATGTGGTGGACTAGAAAGCTTCCATTGTAAAATGCTGTTTTGCAGTTTTTGTTGCTACTTGCAGGATTTTTCATTTGCATGCTTTTTGTGTGTTAGTATAAGTTTACGTTCGCTAGTCTAATTTTTTTTGTATATATTTTTTTTCCTTTTGCTCAACATTTATGTATTTGGAACGTGTTTCTAGTCCTCAGCCCCAACAGATTACATCCCAGGCAGACCATCAGTCATTAAAAACAGCTACATCAAAGGGAGGACAATTAGAAGACAAAAGAATACCAGATATGAATGAAAAGATCATGTGCATTCTTATTGTGAGGTAAGAGACTTACAAACATGTTTTTTAAATAACTAAAATTTATGTCGTAGTCATGCTTATCCGTGTGTTTTGCAGAAAAAGGCATTTGGGATGAGGTGAGCTATAAAATTTAATTTGTAGGTTTGCTTTGAGTCCAGATTTTTTATTTATTTTTTGATGAGTTTATCAACAAAATATAAGACTTTGAACATATATATTTTTTTTACTGTACTTTCTTTAGATAAAGAATACATTTAAATCTAAATATATACTGTAAGAAAATATTTTTTTGCAGATTACAATATACCAAGGGCTGCTCAGTGGGGCAGAGTGTAGCACTACTCCCTTGCATAATGAAGGTTCTGGATTCGATTCCCGGCCCGAAGTCTTTCTGCATGGAGTTTGCATGTTCTCCCTTAGCATGCGTGGGTTTTCTCTGGGTACCTGATTCTGCTCTAAACTTCTCCACTACTTTATGGTAAACCAGTCTGCTTGGTTCTTTGCTCTTCATTATGCTGTTTCTTCACTGATCATTTCTAACATTAGAGGTCTTCACAGAATGGCTGTATTTTTCATACCAAATGAAACAATAACAATTAGAAAACTAGAGTTCTGATTGATTTGCATGTCACTGTATCCTTTTATAATGTTTATTTTCTAATTA